GCACCACAGATGCCACAAACACCCTCCCCTAACCCACAGGACAGCTGGCCTACTCACCATCCATTGAGCCCTGCAGGGGTCCTCCTTTCCTGACAGCGTTCCAGCCCAGGCAGGAGCTCAGGCTGCTCCTCCCCCTCTCCTCCAGCAGCCAACCACTCCAAGGAGGAGGCAGGACAGGGATTCTACCCATGCAGCTGATGAGTGGACAGCTGCCGGAGGAGCTAGGGAAGGGTAGTGCTTTCCCTTTAAAAAGCAAAGCAGACAGAGAAAGAGATAGACCAATAACAGAAGGAGGTGGTGCTTGTTTTAAAATATGCAAATAACTCACTGAATGCTTAAGGTTTTTAAAATTCCATGAAACAAAGTAGTTGCTATTGCAATTTGGTGAAACTTGCCCAAGCTATGAAAGTTTTACTTCAATCCAGGTGAAATTTGCACAAATTACATAATTTGTATATAATCACTGAGTCAGCAACACCTGCTTCCTTCCCTCTCCTACCTGGTTTTCATTAGGTTCAGCCACTCCAAATGAACTGAGGCCAGATAACAGAAGGAGGTGGTGCTTGTTTTAAAATATGCAAATAACTCACTGAATGCTTAAGGTTTTTAAAATTCCATGAAACAAAGTAGTTGCTATTGCAATTTGGTGAAACTTGCCCAAGCTATGAAAGTTTTACTTCAATCCAGGTGAAATTTGCACAAATTACATAATTTGTATATAATCACTGAGTCAGCAACACCAGAAAAGATCTCACGCTCTTTCCAAGCAAGGAGGAATAAAATGTAGTTACTCTACATTGCTACTCTCTCTTCCCTGCTTCCTTCCCTCTCCTACTTGGCTTTCATTAGGTTCAGCCACTCCAAATGAATTGAGGCCAGCTGTAGTTAGGTAAAGGTAAAGGTTCCCCTTCACATTTAGTCCAGTCATGTCCAACTCTAGGGGGTGGTGCTCATCCCTGTCTCCAAGCCGTAGAGCCGGCATTTGTCCATAGACAGTTTCTGTGGTCACGTGGCCAGCGCAAATGGACATAGAACACTGATACCTTCCCACCGAGGTGGTGCCTATTTATCTACTTGCATTTGTATGCTTTCAAACTGCTAGGTTGGCAGGAGCTGGGACAAGCAACAGGAGCTCACTCCGTCGTGTGGATTCGATCTTACGACTGCTGGTCTTCTGACCTTGCAGCGCAGAGGCTTCTGCGGTTTAACCCGCAGCACCACCAAGTCCCTTTTGGCAGTAGTTAGATCTAACTAAAACTATGCACAAACCATAATTTATAGTTTACAAAAACTCTGTAGATGTTTCAGTTTCATAAATTAATTTTTAAAATAGAAAATAAATTGCATGGTTTTGTTTTGAACTGCATTTACTCATTAGTTTATGAATGCAGCATATGTGTAAGTCATTTCAAAGACTGCTCCCTTTGTGCACTGGATCTTGCTTGCATTGAGGCTGTCACTCATGGGGTTTCTAAGTATTCTCAGAATAAACTGTACAAGGACACTATTCTTAGAGCTGCAAATATAAATACACAAAAGAATAACCTCTTCATGCATGCACTTCTTTGAGTGCTGTGACAGACCTGAAGATACAGCTCTTTGTTCTCTCACCAACAAGTGTACAGCAGTAGATCATGAGGGATTTTTTCTCTCTTGTGTTGTCTAAGAAATGTCCACATGCCCCATGCTGTACCAGACAATAAAGACTGTTGTATTTCAGCAGGACTTTCAGGCTGCTGCCTTAACACCCATGTATGAGCAAGAGTAACCCTACTCAGGCATTTGCCTGAATTGCATGTGGGATGAAATTAATGATGGGGATGGGGGCACACCCAAACATCTCATCACTGAATGCCTCCATGTTCCCAGCAGCGTCCTAAACAATTGTACTGAAAGTGATGATCTGAAAAGGGCTTTGTAGTCTCAGTGTGCAAAGTGTCTGTGACACTGCTGGGTTTACAGGACATTATACAAATCCACTGCTGAATGTCACCACACACCTGGCAACACCACAGCCCTCACATGATGAGGTTACAAAGTCCTTTTTAGAACTTCACATTCAACACAGAAAGACCTAGCACACTGACAAGTATGTTGGGACATGAAGTCATATGCCATCATACTACACTTTACTTTACATGTGTTCCAGTCAGTGCCTGTGTAGAGCTAGTATATATACTATGTAGGGTGAAATGCAGTGTGTCACTTCTAGGGAGTAGCTAATCAGCCAAAGGAGCAGCAAACTACAACACTGACTGAAACTTACGAGGTAAGCAATAAACATAGAATCTCACAAAACTAATCAGCCAAAGGAGCAGCAAACTACAACAATGATTGAAGCTGTAAGCAATAAACATAGAATCTCACAAAACTTGTATAGGAACATAAAACTTGTATAGCAACATATAGGCCGCCCAGAAGCCACTGGCAATGGTGCGGCTAAAAATATTGTAAATAAATAAATAAATAAATATGTACACAGAGAGGGAATTGTGAAGAAAATTGGAGCAGCTAATTTAAGCTTAACCATCCTGACAAAACTGAGTTCAAAGAGTGAGTAATGCCAATGAAATATGTTTAGGTGTCAGATATCCCTGAACAGAACCTGGCCTAAGGGGGAAAGTTTTAGACTACAGAAGTTACTTTTCCAAGTTATGTAATGGTAAATAAAAAGCATGCCCCCACCACCACTGGGTGTATGGAATACCACCACCACTCTGGTTCTATGGATTTCCTATTAAGAAATCACATCCCAAGAATACATATCATAACATCATATGAAAGAAGGGCAAGGAAGGTTGCAACCTATTCATACAGCTTTTGACACTTTTTAGAGACAAGTATGGTGTAGTAGATAGAGTGGCGGACTAGGATTCTAGAGAACGGAGTTCAAATCCCCACTTGATTTCATTCTACAAAGTATTTTAGAGTACTGTAATGTATCTTTTATTTATGTTTGCTAGGTTGTTATTCTATAAACACTGTCCTGAGAACTTCAAATCTGCTTAATAAATATTTTCTGCAGATATCTATATAAAACTTACAATGCATGGAAGTGGGGCTGGAACTTCTTTCATCATTACTAGGAACATCAAAATAAATATACAGTATGTGAAATAACATGAAATAATGTATATTTTGCCTTATACTGCAAATATCTGCAAATAAGGAAATGTGCAACATTGCTGTTTGCTTAGCTAATACAGTTCACACATCCCTGATTTTCTTGGGGCTTCTAACAACATGTACTATGAAATATTTCAGCTGAAAATTTGAAACAAAGCATTTATTTGCTATCTCCTACAGTCATGGCAAAGCCACCAGAACAACTGGTTCATTCATCTATAAGCAAGTTGAAAAAGACAGTGGTGACTACCACTATTACTACTCCTCTTGATTTTTATAGCATTTCAGATTCATAATGTACTTTCTCATTATGTGTTTTTGCTCTTACAACCACCTTGTACAACACATTCCTGAAAGGGAAAAGGAAGGAAGTGGACTGTGTTTCATAATTAGCATCATGTCTGAGGCAATCACTAAGAGCACAGCACTAACTCCATCTGGCAGCTTTCACAGGAGGTTGCTATATACTGAGCCGGACCACAGGTGCATCTGTCCAGTACAGTCAACTTTGAATGGCAGTACATCTCTAAGGTTTTAGGTAAGATTCTTTCTTAGCTCTACCTGGAGACCCCTGACGGGATCCTGCTTAGCTTCAGAAAGCAGGTAAGATTTCTCAAGTTAGCCTTCAGTGTAAGCCATAACCGTAATACAGCTGCTGGGAAATCAATGCATCCATCGTACACAATCCTCATCAGGGTAAGTGTTAACAACCCTTAAAGTGCATAGTCTGGGAAGTGTCATTTATATTTTCCTATTCCTTGCAATCCAGACTTTAAGGTCTGGGCTCTGTCCCCCCCACCCCAGGCAGACTTTGCAAGTTTAGGCAAATAGTAAGGCTCCAATTACACATTCTGGACTCTGTGAGTACAAGGGATTCCACAGCAGAGGTGCAAATCTTTTAAAGCCTATGTATCAAACCTTTAGGGGTATGCTTAAGTGATCAATTAGGAGTGTTGGCCACTGTCAAGACAAATCCTTCCACAGAATCAAAAGTGTACACTATATTTAATTTTTCTCATCCTAACTTAATGTGTCAGTTTGGATTACCAAGGCATTAATTTGGACAGCTACATGTCGATCTTAAAAAAAATCCACACCCTTCTATATGTAGAAAACTGGTTATTAATATGCAGTCTCCATTTGAAAAAAAAATCAGAAGTACAAATTTTAATGCAGGGAAGAATAGAGCAGTCTCTGGTTTGTGGGCTTTATCTGAAGAGTGTAAGGACTTCCCAGCCCACCACTCTCCTAACCTCAGCCCTCCAATTCCCTCCACTCACCCAGTTCATTCTCCAAATTGGGAACAGTAGGGAGATAATGCCTTATAAAATTGTTTATTATACATAATCCCTTGCTCTTGAGGGTGCTATATCCTCTAGATTCTGTGTCTCCTCTTCAGAGTTAGTTCAAACTGCTTCTATTGAAACTGCCAGAAAGTTCATATAGGAGAGAGAGTGGCTAAAATCTAGTAGTCGCAATTAGAGTAAGCCCACTGAATCAGTGAAACATGCAAAGGACATTAACTCACCAAATTCTCACTGATTCAGTGGGCTTACTCTAGCTATCCCTTACTCTTGGATTTCCACCTGTGAGTGCTGCCTTAAACGCTTCCAAACAAGGGTTCCTGGCTAACTTAGTGTAACATTCCTGTTTGCTGTAATATAAATCTTACTGAATATTCCTTAATTGTACTGTTTATTCCCATCAGTAGACACGTCTGTCCTTTTCTTTCAAAAGATGGCTGCAGCAGATGGATGCAACTCTATCGAGATCCTCTAGAATATTTCCATTTGTAAATATTTATTAAGACAAGTCACTGAGTCACAAGCAGCTTACATTATTGACTTCAGAGTAAGACTGTCCAAAATTCCTACCTTGTGTAGACCATAAAATGCTTACAGGCATGGAAGCCACATCCTTGATCTTTATCCAGCTGTTGTTGCGCTGCCTGCTCCATGAAGAAATTACACAATAATAATCTCCTTTATCTACTTCAGAAGTCCACTGGATTCGTAAGCGGAAAGTGTCCACAGCTGGCTTAGAAAAAATAATGTCCCCATTCTGGGCCCGCTGTTTGCTTCTGTCACCAACTACCAGTGTCCAGTCTGCATCCATAGTGGCAAGAAGTTCATCTTTTGCCACTTCATCACTGCGCAAAGGTAATCTGTAGTACCAGGACACAGTGAAACGTATGTTTGCTTCAGTATTCTTTGCCTCTGTGATCCTACACTCCAGTTCAGTGGGGTCCTCTGAAAATTTAGGTGTTTTGGAAGCATTCAGAAACACATGGTAATTTGGCTCTGCATAGAGTTTGAAAAAGCAGAAAGGAAGCCAATTAAAAGCATGAAATAAGGATTGCATTTTCTCATCGCTAGCTGTCTTTTCACAATTGCAACATTCCTTCAGCGCACCAGTTTTTCCAGTCATGACACACAAAATCATACCTACCATTAGTGGGCAACAGTGGAGGCTATTCCCATAAGCAGACCCCAATATCTCCACTGTTTACCTGAAGGATACAACACCTTCAGGTAAACAGAGATAGCCAGAATTTAGTAAGTCACCTTTTGGGGTGAGAGTTTGATTTCATAATACAAAGCACATTCTTGTCACAGAACACTGCACTTCAAATTGCAAAACATTTTCCTTTCAAGGACTTGTTTGATTTCAATGGTATGGGATCAACATTTCAGAAGAACATGTCCAGACTGTGTTAGCTTTCTCTATCCTGTTTACTGTTCCATTTCACTGTCCACTTGCGGTGACAGATTAGCAGAAGGAAACTTGCCAACAGAATCAGCAAGCACTGGGAACAAGTTGCATTGACTTGTGCAGGATGCTGAACACTTCGGGGGGAGGGGGGGTCACGAATTCAGCCAAACAATGCGCTTACCAATTAATCTTCCTAATGGTTGTTATGGATTTTTCGGGCTCTTTGGCCGTGTTCTGAAGGTTGTTCTTCCTAAGGTTTCGCCAGTCTCTGTGGCCAGCATCTTCAGAGGAAGCACAGAGTGCTGTCCTCTGAAGATGCTGGCCACAGAGACTGGCGAAACATTAGGAAGAACAACCTTCAGAACACGGCCAAAGAGCCCGAAAAACCCACAACAACCATTAGATCCCGGTCGTGAAAGCCTTTGCGAATACATTAATCTTCCTAACTTTAAATTTCAAATTCTTTTGACATTTTTATCATCACAACAAGTATGAAGCAACTGAAAAATACCATTATGTACCTGTTTGTAGCAGCTGTAGTCAGATCCCAGGTTTACGTGCAAACAAGAAATTCTAAGGTTAACGAATACATCCGCACAGAGTTTATCTGCTTCAGTAAACTCTCTGTGGGTATATTCACAGCCCCTAAAAAGATGTGTGATTTTCTAAATCGAAAGCATAAATAATTGTTTTTTGCTTTGATAAGAAGAAAAGAAAAATTTAAGAGAAATAGGGTTTCAGCCAGTCCTGTCAGTACTGGAAGGGCATACAGTGGTAGATTGCTCAGCTCTTCACACTGACTTTTAGACAGAGGATTTAGACGGAAGGAATAAAAGGCTTGCTGGCTAAGCCTCATTCCTGCACTCTGTCAGCTGTCAAAGAACAGCACTGCTGACAGTTCAATGACTTAATACCCTGCCAAGCTTTCAAACTTCAATCAAGGAGGAGGAGGCTGGTGATGAATTCTGGATACCATTTAGGTACCTCAGATGATGAGAATTCCTTATCCACTTCACCCACCCCCAGGCAACATTATGTTCAACTGAATAATACTTTTATCCTCCTTCTTTACCTGCACCCAAACCATTAATAATTGGGGACATATAAAGGAGAAGGAATGCCCACAGAATTTCCCATGGAATATTTGAATTCCCTGAAAAGAGGCACGTTGTTCAAGCTGGCTTTTGAGGGCAGGGTTATTAACAGACATTACTGGAGACAGAAATAAAAATATGCAGGAAATTGCTTGCATTTTTCCAAGTCGGCCTTGAATCCAAGCACTTACCTCACAGCTGCAGCTGACTAGGAACTGCATGCAGGTGAAAGAGGAGACTGGAGAAGGGATAGAGTCTCCCTGCCTAAGCACTGAAAACCAGCAGGCTGCCAAGGGAGACAACCCTGCACCTCCTCTGTGCCATGTAGGAAAATGCAGAGAGCTGCAAGAGGAGGAGGAGGAGCTCCTGACTCTCTGCTAGTTAGTTAGTTAGTTAGTTAGTTAGTTAGATAGTTAGTTAGTTAGATAGTTAGTTAGTTAGTTAGTTAGTTAGTTAGATAGTTAGTTAGTTAGTTAGTTAGTTAGTTAGTTAGTTAGTTAGTTAGTTAGTTAGTTAGTTAGTTAGTTAGTTAGTTAGTTAGTTAGTTAGTTAGTTAGTTAGTTAGTTAGTTAGTTAGTTAGTTAGTTAGTTAGTTAGTTAGTTAGTTAGTTAGTTAGTTAGTTAGTTAGTTAGTTAGTTAGTTAGTTAGTTAGTTAGTTAGTTAGTTAGTTAGTTAGTTAGTTAGTTAGTTAGTTAGTTAGTTAGTTAGTTAGTTAGTTAGTTAGTTAGTTAGTTAGTTAGTTAGTTAGTTAGTTAGTTAGTTAGTTAGTTAGTTAGTTAGTTAGTTAGTTAGTTAGTTAGTTAGTTAGTTAGTTAGTTAGTTAGTTAGTTAGTTAGTTAGTTAGTTAGTTAGTTAGTTAGTTAGTTAGTTAGTTAGTTAGTTAGTTAGTTAGTTAGTTAGTTAGTTAGTTAGTTAGTTAGTTAGTTAGTTAGTTAGTTAGTTAGTTAGTTAGTTAGTTAGTTAGTTAGTTAGTTAGTTAGTTAGTTAGTTAGTTAGTTAGTTAGTTAGTTAGTTAGTTAGTTAGTTAGTTAGTTAGTTAGTTAGTTAGTTAGTTAGTTAGTTAGTTAGTTAGTTAGTTAGTTAGTTAGTTAGTTAGTTAGTTAGTTAGTTAGTTAGTTAGTTAGTTAGTTAGTTAGTTAGTTAGTTAGTTAGTTAGTTAGTTAGTTAGTTAGTTAGTTAGTTAGTTAGTTAGTTAGTTAGTTAGTTAGTTAGTTAGTTAGTTAGTTAGTTAGTTAGTTAGTTAGTTAGTTAGTTAGTTAGTTAGTTAGTTAGTTAGTTAGTTAGTTAGTTAGTTAGTTAGTTAGTTAGCTGTATCTGCCTATTTAGAAAGCTGCCTGCTCTAAATGTTATTGCATTTTGTGGGCCTTCTAAACACCACAGACAAGCTTATTCTCACCTATTTATATATACAGCAAATGGAGGGGGAGACAGGATTGTGATTAGACCATTTTCTTTTCAGGATGTCTCTTTGTCCATCACAACAATGAAAGCCCCTCAAGTCAATTTCAATCCTACAAGGCTACAATCTTTTGTGTAAGAAAAGTCTTATTTATACATCTGAATGAGGTTTTTGTCCAAACAAATATTTCAGTATTGAATTGGAAATGTACTACAAGAGTGAATTCCAGCTCCCTTGGCTCTTAAATGCAACAGGTGCTATCTATCCTGTTGTCAGGACTGGACCATGGAACACAGCCCTGAGGTGTTGAGGGAGGAAACAAAAACTCCTACCGTAATCTCAGTAAGCAAAAATGCTACCTGCAGAGAAAAGCATTTTGTGGCAGCAGGTGGGTCAAGAATGCAGTTATATGCCACTTGAAAGGATTTAGCATTTCTTGGTGCTTTATGAAAAGCATCAAACTAAACCAATCAACCATTACTTGTAGAGAGTAGTACAGCGATAGGTATCTTCCCTGCTCTTATTGGCCATCTCCCCAGAGTTAGAAAGCATCTGATTGTTTCAGCTTCCTACAATTCAAAAAGGTTTAGAAAATACTTTATAATAAATGGCCTGCAGCTGCAACTTTTCCCAGCCTGCAATCACCGAAGTGCTTTTTCTACCAGTGCCACCAGGCACCAGCCTAACTGAAGAAGAATGGGAAATGGAAGAAGATTGCTGCTACTTTCCCCTCACTTCTCACTAGGAAAGAAATCCTCAGCTGGGTAGACAGGGTGGCCATCAAAAATACCATGTCGACAGTTCCTAAAACCCAGGGGTGTCTCTGGACACTCTGGGTTTGTCAGAGCATGGATTACCACTGGCTTGGCCTCTGGTTGTGCTTGGATAGCATTCAGAAATGTGTGTGCACCAGTATCTTATTCACAGCATCGAGTAAGTAGAAACGTTTGCTTCCGCTATTTGAAAGGCTGTCAGGAATCATCTGGCTCCTAATTGTGAAGTCAAAAGCCAGAAACTTGATTTTTCTAATTATTCTCTAAGAGATGCTGACATGTCAAGGCAAACTCTAAAGAACAACATGGTTCTTTACAAATTTATGCTTGCCTTTCAGTTTTCTGCATCTCTCCTGCCTGGATGCTCATTTCTCTGCATATTTGCATAAAAAGCAGGATCTCAGTAGCTTAAGAGTTCAGCTAGGGAAACAGAGCAAGAGTTACTGAAAACATAGCACTCCATGAAGCCAGAGCAGAATACTAGGAAAAGGAAAATGCAATATTCATACACATAAAAAGCTTTTGTCTAGACAATCCTGTGGTTCATCCCATTCTTTTTTTCCATATTATATGGATGCTGCTTTATTTTCTGTCCTTATTAAGTATCAGCAAGTGATCCCAAGAATAATAAATTTGCTCAAGGAAATAAGTCAGACATAATTTCACCACTGAAAGCAACACTGGAAAAAGTACTACCTGCTTTTTCTTGGACTACATCTCTGTAATAGCAGCAATATAAGAGCAGCAAACCAGAACCCAAGAAGGAGCATAAATGAGCCACCAGACTGTTTGAGACCATGTCCTACTTTGTGGCATTGCCATAAGCTACTAATATGCTCAGAGAGATGAATGAATTCATAAAAATAGCCATGCATGTCTCTATATTTTTGCAGATGCCTTAGGATCTGTACAAGAACAAGAAAACTTTAAAACTCAAGAGAAATATGCTGAACCATTCTTAGCCAAAAATATTGCACAGTCGTTTTAAAAAATGTCTTTGGCTGACAAGTGGAGAAAGTAATAAGGGAAAATCCATAGCTGCAAAGGAGTCTCTGGATGGGCCATTTAGACAGATGGGACTTTAAAACATACTGTATGATTTAAGAAAGGGGTGGGGAAGAGAGTCACCTGAAGAGTTTGGAATCTCTAACTCGTGGTGTTAGAAGTCCAGAACCACACTAACCATGAAGTATAAAAAACATCAAGGCCAATAGTAGTTTGGCATTTCATTCCGGGCAGGTATGTTACCCTGGAACAAACCACAAAATGGCCCAATTCATGGGGGGTTTTGCTTTGTGGTTCATTTCATGCCCATTTCTAATTGTGTGTCTTGAACATCTGAGGACACTGATTTCATCCACATGGTCCCTTTGGATCATTTTGGGTTTACTTTTTAAATAGATAACATTCAGTAATTTTTTTTTCCATAGAGATCCTGGAGTGGTGATAGTGCGGTTATTCCCACTGAATGGCACTTTCCATTTCATTTTTAAATTTGTATAATATAAAAAATAAAATACAGACAAAGTGGTTCATCAACTTCATAGGTGCCACCATCCAACTACTCACCAGGTGCTGATACCTCCACAATAACCGGTATAGATGTCCTCTCTGCTACCTTGTACCAGCTACCATTGTGCTGTGGCACCCAAAGGGCTGCTTGGCAGAAGTAGTAGCCTGAGTCTTCAATGCCCACATCACGTACCAATAGGTGGTATGAAGTTCGATCCACATGGCTAAGGCTGATGAGTGTAGAGTCACTGATTACAGAGTCACGATCTGCACTCAGCAAAACCTGAGCATCTGCCATGGTGCTATCAGGTGACTCACTGAAGTACCATGTTATTTCAGCTTGGAAAATACCACTTCTGTCTGTTGTGATGTTGCAGGTAAGGTCAAGGGAATCCCTTTCTCTTACAGTCACATTGCTTCCTGTAATGAACACGCCTAACGCTGGAGAGAGGGAACATGAAAGACCAAAAGTATTACTCTCAACTGCATAGTCCGCTATGTACTGTTACTATTAGATTGCACTGTAGGCTTATGTATTCATAGTTATAGGGAAAACCTCCAAATTCTTTTCATTAGAATTCATTTCCATTAACCAAATCAGACCCATATTTTATCTTACTTGAAACTCAGCCTTCTCAGTTTCAGTTCCTCCTCGTCATGCAAGGCTTGCACATTTTTCACTGGAACTCAAGTGATCCATCCTAAATTTTAACTGTAGTGTTGAATGATGTCTTTCCAAAATTGTGCTCTATTAATACATTTAACTATATATAGTTTCCATGCAATAAAATGGACCCCATGTCTCCCAGTAATATCTACAACAACGGTTCCTAAAACTGGGTCTCCCAATAACGCTGGACTTCACAATTCCCAGAATTTGCCACACAGGGACACGATGGCCAGGCTTCTGGGATTTGCAGTCCAACACTGTCTGTGGACCCAAGTGTGAGAACCGCCTGCCTAAGGTATACACACAATTAGATTCAACACGCCTGCCTTACAAGTTACTTTCACTTAAAATTTAGGAACTTAAGAAATGTGGATATTACAATCAGCTTCATGAGAAAGTGCTTTTCTAGCATCTAGCTAAGACACACTCTCAAAGGCAGACCAAACAGATTTTACAGGCTAACTACTACCTAAACCTAAATCCTAAAGGTATCCACGATATCCTCAGATCTCATCTGGTGATTATAGGATTTGTAACTCAGTTGGAACCCATTCCCTCAAATGGATCAAAATCTAACTAGAGATTGGCTAGTTTATTCCTCCTACCCTAAATGACAATTTTACAGTTCGGCATGACCTAAGGAAGCACACAAACTACTTGCTTGAAAAAGACTGACAAGTAACTAAAAAGACAACTACAAATTTCAGATCTCTTTTAACCCTTAACAAACCCTAAGGCTGTTTTGCAAGACATCTGCACAAAAATCCTATATGAGCTACAGGAAACAGAATCCTCTGCAGGAATAAACTATAAAACCTAAGTCAACATCAAAACAAGGAATTAAAATAAAAATATCAGCAACATGGTGTTTAAAATAAGTGCGCACAAGGCATTTGAAGAATATGTCAATATTTTACCATTCCTCCCTTTACCACGACCTCAAATTCAAGCTTGGGCTTGACATTTCACATTATACGTGACCCACAAGATAGTGAACAGCAGTCCTACTGTGTTACACTGAGCTAATATAAGGGATAGCCACTGCAGCTTTCTGACTGCACCTGATTCCCCACCCCACTTCTGCTACGTTATTACAGCACAGCTACAGTTATGGGAAACATTATTTCATGATTTCACATACTCTCACCTGTTGGCTGCACCACCACATTTGCTACATCAGCAGTTTTCTCTTGGATTTTTTGCCATGTACCATCAGCACCTTTAACCCACTCACTCACTCGACATCTATAGGCACCTTCATCTGTTGGAAGAGCCTGTGACACAGACAAGCGGTAAATGTCATTGGCCATGGCATCTAAGCGGACATCTCCACTGATAAACCGCTCGTTATATTCCGGGCCAGGCTGGAACTTGCCCTCATGCGTCAGGGACAGGATTTCTTGCCAGGCAAGGCCATTCTTAAATTCCCAAGACACATGTAAATGGGTGTGTTCTGATGAATTAGTAGAAGCTGAGCAACGCAACTGAAACGCTTCTCCTTCTGATAAGTTCCAAGTAGATGTAGAGCGGGCTTTCGATCCACTAACTGTTAAGCCATCTGCAATCACTATTTAGAGAAGAAAAAGTTATTAAGCATGTGGATTACAATAAACAATTTTACATAAAAAGTGGTGATGAAACCAAGTCAAAACTGTAGTAGCCATCACGAAAGTCAGAACAAAGCCAAATTAAGTCTGCAAAGGTTTCACAAGGTGCACTAACGATCCCAAGCATTTAAAACAGTTTTTGAACATTTTAAGACACACTTAAAATAGCGAAAACAGACATCGCTAAGCGAAACAGGGGGACCTAAACTGTCATCGCTAAGCGAGGCAAAGTCCCGAACATCGCTATGCGAAATTTCCCCATAGGGAACATCGCTAAACGGAGTGCAAAATCGCACCAAAAACCTCATAGCTAAGCGAATACATCGTTAAACCAGGCAATCTATTAAGCGAGGCACCACTGTATACTAAAGAAAATGTTGAGCCAAAACAAACAATTTGTGTCAGAAAACATGAACAGAAAGTATTTTAAACATTACACTCCTCACCCCAGCTAAGTCAATTGTCCCAGCATTATAAAAAATCTCCAGTTCCTTCCCAAGTACAGTCTGCAAATAGAAAAATTCAATTTCCCACTGTGCAAAATCATGGAGAAAAAGATTCAAATGCAAAAAGTGGTATTCTTAACCACATAGCTTTAAGTCCAAGTGATAACTTTCATGGGATTCTTTGGAGATACACTCAACCATCCCCACTACAGTGAAAGAAACACCACATAATACTATGCTTCTAGTCTGACTTGGGAGTGGTGCAGCTGGCAGACACATTTGTGCCTCATCTGCTCACCCCAAGGCAACAGCTTTTTGCTCCAAATGAGAGCACACTGAAGGCTGTGACAAACTAAGAAAAACGGAATCAAATATTTAATACTGTACTTGGAATCAACTTCTCGGACAATTTAACAGTCTAAATTTCATATTATTCATATTAAATTTATAATTTGCATTTCCACTACAAATAGAGCAGAAGGTAAATCACACTGAAATAAAATGACAAATAAAATTATCATCAATGTATAAAAGCATATCAGTTGACATACACCACTTTAGAAAAAAAAGGGAGATGCACTCAAGACTTAAAACATCTTCCAGCAAATAGCTTTAAAGCCAAAGTCCAATCTGAACAGAAACATCTACATGTGCTGCAAGAAAAATAGCAAAGCTAAAACAAGCTTGGGCTGCCTTGGGAATGGGTTTCAGAGCAGCCATAGAGATGGTCACAATATTTAGTGGGAATGCAAAAAAGGACCTTCCCAGTGGCTGCCCTTTGACTATGAAATTCTCTAGCAAGGGAGCTCAGGCCTGCCTTCTGCCCAAAAGCGGTGTAAAGAAAGAAGGGTCTCTTCTGAAAATCTTAAAACCCAAAGAGTCTCATATGGGAGAGTGGAATTTTTCAAATAGCCGTCAATACTGAGAATAAGGTATCTTATATTTGTTGACGTTCCATCCCACTCGGGCCCCGCATAAAAAATGTTGTGTGTTATGTTTATAGGTATTTATAAATACATAATAGGCATCAACTTTTTTTAAAAAATGCTTTATCCTCAGGTTAGATGAAGAGACAAAGGAGTATACAGAAGTAAATCATATCTCTCAAAGCTTCAATAACTTACTTTTTCAGACAACTCTAAGAATCCAGGATTCTAGATACCTCTGTTCTGGAAGTTGTCATCCAAAAATGTAATTATTCTAAGTTCTAATTTTTGTACAAGATCTTGCACAAATGATTACAAAATTATGCTAGACCCAATACCAATTGTAAATACCCCTCACCCTGTAGAAGTACCTTTGACTTCGATTACAGCATTGTAATTTCCCTGGAAGACGGCATCTGTGCTAGGCGTAGTACATCTGTACATCCCTTCATCAGCAGAGCGGATATTCCCAATCACAAGTTCGACAGCCTCATTGCTGTTTCGCCTCAACATAATCTCCTTACTATTAACTCGATCTTCATACTCCAGAGATGTAAACCAAGGGTCCCAACTACTCACTATATGTACAAATTTAGGGTCTTTAGCAGGGTCCGTAGAGAACTCCCAGTCAAAGTTCTGTTCACTGGGTCCATCATATTGACTAACGTTGCACGGAATTACCACCTCTGTGCCTTCAACTCGAACTAGGGGCCCTGCAGGCACCTTCACAATACGTCCAAGGCAAGAAGCTGAAAAGAAAAAGCAACAATGTTGAATTAATACTGCACCTGTATTAAAGCAAACATCAAGGGTCAGAACTGGAGGGGAAAAGGAGAACACTTTTTTCCGTATAGCAGATGGTTTATTGGATAGTAACTGAAAATGGTGCTTGCGATAAAAGATATTTAGAGAGGCCAATTAGGAGATAGAGAGTATTGGGCTAAAAAGGGGAAACATTCAAGATTAAATCCTTGGTTGGTTATAACACTCAGTGGGTAGCCTTTGGAAACTTGTTTATCTTCACTACTTCACTGAGTGCCATCTGGGATTGTGAATGCAGTCAGCAGTCACTGAAGATCTCTTGTTCTTTCTGTAAACATAATTGCCTTTGTCCTTACTTTTCATCTGCACTATGTAGGATCACAAGTTACCATAGTGAAAAAAAAAAAAACAAGACTTACAGAGCCCAGTAACCTCTGCCTCTTGCTTGCAGCAGAAATATTCTTTGTTTCATTAATAACCGTAATTAGAAATAAGCTACAGTACCTGTCTAGAACTGCTAAGAAGAATTGCCAATTTTGGTAACATTTACTGCTTTGGACAGCTCAGTGGGCAGCTAGATATCTGACTGTGGAGCCAAAGATAGGGACTTCCATTCTCCAGTTTGCCTCCTGGGAGAACAAGCAATCTGTGTAGCTTTGGGGAAGCTGCATAATTCCAAAGCACTCCAAAAAAAGAGGAATAAGTATTTTACACCTCGAAAACTCTGGAAAAGGTTGCATTAAGCTGCATTAATTATTCTCTCCCAGTTTTCAGCCTTCCTTACCAGTCTAAAAGACATGGAACCAAGACTGTTTTCTTTGTATTTTTTTAATATAATAACGTTATGTATTTTATGTTAGATACGTCTCACTGACTCATGGTATTAATATTTTCATTACTGTGCAAAGCTGGAGATTTTAAACAACTGTTTAATGTGAACACAAGATGAGATTTAAAAATGTATAAGCTTTGAAGTCATTATGAAGCATCCTTTGCTCTATTCCTCCATCAATGGCAGCCATAAAGGACTTCCGTTACTCTTATTCAAAATAACCACAATATTTATAACATTTTGGACTCATACAGTCATGGAAGCTTTACAATATATAAAATATCAGCAGACCTGCTATCTGATGAGCTTCCAAATCACAGACTGTTCATGCATGAACATAAACATGTATAAAGGATATTAGCATAGCAAAGGGAAGACTCCTGCTTCCTTACAACTAAGGATGTGAAAAATTCTCCTGATTTCATTGTGTTTCTGTGAATATCACTTGCATTCTTGTACAATCATTTATTCATATATTCTTACAAATGTATCTGTATGTTGGGGAAATGCATCATATTGCAGAATGTTTGGTTCTTCTTCCCCAAGAAAATTCAGACGCATTTCCATACACATTTGATTTCCATATGCTTTTTCCCTAGTACACACATTTTGACGTATATTTGTACATATTTTTGCCATCTGCACCAGAAATCTCATAAATGTGTGAATTTTGAAAGCAAAGTATGTTTTGTCTTGCAATGAGCCCCTTAAGATGCAAAATGGATACTTATATGTGAAATTTCAAATACAAGGACATTATTTTCTATCTCTACTTACAGACTGTGAAACCCAGGAAGCTCCATTACAGGATTTATATCCCCTGCCCCCATCTCTGGGGTGTTTCAGAGATTGAATCCACCAAGTGGACATACGTAAGAAATTCAACTTTTATTCTCAGATATATGTTATGTGACCAAATTTGCAGTGTTCTCAAAAAGGCGGTGAGCAAGGAAAACAATTGGACAGTCAGTTAAAAACAAACAAACAAACAAACTTGGTTTCATTCATGAAGCATATATCCAGTTTAGTATAAGTACTGGCAATGTGGTCAGGTGTGCACTTGGTTTCTTAAAGTGATTTTAAAACAAGTCAGTGCATAGGACTATGATTCAAAAAATATGTGTGAAACCACAGATGTTACAATGCAAACATATACTGTATACATCTTTCATTCATTACAAGGCCTTGCTAGACTCATGTGTGTGTAAAAGTAGAACAGCAACTAAATCAGCTGCTTCTCATAGGTGCTGTATGCAGCATTTCTGACTGGAGAACCAGCATCTCTTCTGCCTCATAGTGGACTTGTTCAGGAGCTACAAACTGGCATTGGTAGCATCTCTCATTTCCTAAGAATGTAAAGCAAACCTAGCCTTTTTTTAAGAGCTGAAGGCCTTCCATAAAAGGAAAACTGTTTCAGCTGCAAAGTCAGCATACAATTTCAGCGTCCAGACAAAATCATTTGAACAAGTAATCCTACTCTATTCTAAATCCACACACACACACAGGCACCCCAAAGCTGAAAGAATCTGTTTTGACCCAGATTTATATCACCACAAAAGAATATCAAAACTAAATCACGCTTATTCCTCTCCTTCTTTCAACCATAATTCAAATCGGCTGAAATTCACTCACTCAAAGAAACATAGAATAATTGAAAGATGCCTATAAGACCATCAAGTCTAGCCCCTGCCCAATGCAGGAATCCAAATCAAAGTATATCTAGCATATGGTTGTTTAATTTTATCTTGAATGCCTCCAGTATCGGAGCTCTTCAAAGGTGTTTTGTTTTGTTTGTTGTTGTTGTTTGCTATCTTCCACCTTTTTTCTTCTTAGAATTGTTTGCAGTTTTAATTTCAGAATTTCCTTTTTAAATAAATCCCCACCCATTTTGGACTCCTTTTCCTGTTAGGCTCTCCTACAATGGAACCTTACACATTATTGTTCTGGCTTTATTAAAACTGGCTATTCTAAAATTCAGTGTACACATATGGTTACAGTCTGCTTTTGCTTCCTCCAAAATCAAGTAGAAGATGATAATTTCCCCCTCCCACAGTTCTCCTTACTGCCACTTCTTCCACAAAGTCATCTCCATTGGTTAGAATCAAGTCAAGAATAGCTAATCCTCTAGTTTCTGTCTCAATTTTTTGCACAGAAAAGTATCAGCAATACGAACAAGGAATATCTTGGAAGAGACATATTTGCAGAATTTGCCTCCCAACAGATAACTGAAATGTCCCATTACTTCTACATTGTGTTTCTTTGAAATTACTGCAATTTGTTTTTCAAATGTTTCAACGGTCTATTTTAACATGTATTGCAATTCCATCTCTCTATCCTTTCTGTTATTTTTGAACAATTAATATTCTTCAATTGCTATATTCCAATCATTGGAGTCATCCCACAAAGTTTCTGTTATCCATATCAAATCATATTTACCCTCCTGAATTAAGCTTTTCAGTTTTCTTGTTTGTTTCCCATGTTCTTGGCATTAGTATATAGACACTGGAAATTGTATGATTTAAAGCCTGCTTTCCTTCGTATAGTTTTATGAAGATTATTATTGGGCTCCATTAGAACCGTTCGGTCTTGCCCTCTTATTTTGCATAAGCCTTCATCTAGTCTTTGTCTCCCTCTCCCTTCCAATTCAGTTTAAAGCTTACCAGTACTTTTGAGATGCAGCCCATCACTTGCCAGCCGTCTGTTGTCCAGGAAGTACAGCCCATGGTCCCAAAAATCCAAATCCCTCACACTGACACCAACTTCACAGCCAGTTGTTCACTCTGAGTATTACCCTTTCCCTTTATATTCCTCTTCTGAGTACTGGTAGGATGAACAAGAAGACTATCTGGGCCCTAACGTCCCTGAATTTCCTTCCCAGAGCTTCAAAGTCTGATGTGCCTTCTTTGTAGTTCATCTTGGCTGTATCATTTGGTCCCATATGGATGAGAAGAAAGGGATGTGCATCTGTGGGTTTTATGAGCAATGGAAATTCTTCCATCACATTTATAATCTGTTCTCCAGGGAGACAGGATATCTGGCAGGTCCATGGATCTTCTCCACGTATTTAAATTTCAATCCCATACAGTAAAAAAATCTACTACAACTATTCTTCTCTTCTTTTTGTAGGATGTTGGTTCAGTGACCGCTTGGCTAAGCTTCAGCCTTTCTCATGTACTTCTGCAGGGTTTCCTATATGTCTGCCTCTGCATGCTCTCTGCTAGACTCTCCTTCAAGAATCTGGTGAAGAGTGTCATCTCCCCTCCTGTGATTTTTCCCATGATGCTTCCTCCACTATGCTTCTCTTCTCAACATTCTCCTCCTCTGCTTTGTCTTGCTATTCTTCCACCTCCAGTGCCTCCCTTGGATGCTGTTGCCTAAGAATTCTGTGTATTGTGTTCTCGAAGGCTTTCAGAGCCGGGATCCAATGGTTGTTGTGGGTTTTTCAGGCTGTTTGGCCATATACTGGAGGTTTTTCTTCCTAACATTTCTCCAGTCTCTGTGGCCAGCATCTTCAGAGGACAGGAGCTAGATTTCTGTCTCTGTTCTGGTGTAGTGTGTGTGATTGTTGAGTATATGTAGCATGTAGCTCAACAATCCCACACACTACACCAGGACACATATATTTTCTGCACACACTGCACACACTTTGCAGGTCAACATCACTGAAATGTCTCTTTCCTCCAAAATCACTGCTATCTTTTGTTTGCTTTGAAGGATTCTTGGGAAAGTCCACTAATATAATTATCTCCTTGATCTCCCCCTTTCTTTGTCTTTTCTTCCAGTAGTCCCCTTTCTTACTACCTTTCCAAATCTTGTTAGCTTTCTCTGTTAGGTCACTCCCTCCCTGGGGTCTGTCTCAATTTTATTCCTCTGCTGTGCTCTGTTAGTAGTTAGCAAACAGAAAGGGTTATAAGCACATTCACCCAAATTTTCCATTCCCTGTCTGTAAAAAATATAAAGGCATATAATCAAAGTAGTGTTAAACAGCCTATCAACCTACATTAGCTGAATAGTCAGACATGACTTGAACTAATACCAAGAACATATCTGGGAAACCAGAAAGTCTCAATACAGCTGTGCTCTGCATTTGTCAGCAAAAAGAAGTAAAGCTATATCCACTACCACTGTGAGCCAAAATGGTAAACTATTAATTGC